CAAGTTTGGCACGTAATTTCGGGAGTAGTCTTGCCGCTGCAGGAGAGGCAGTTCTTGGAAGGTGCTCCTCCAGAGATGCGGTTGAGGAAGCACCCGCCGTTCTGAAGAACGGTCGTCATACTTCGGGTGCAGCACGCCTCTTCTCGACAACAAGTCCGCGACAGATAGATCACTCAAGTAACCGTCAATCAACCAACAGCCTCTGTCGAGCGTGCAACCCTCAGTCTAACCAATCGACGGATACCAACAACTGTCCTCTCTCTCTCTCTCTCTCCCTCTCTCTCTCTCGCTCTCCAGCGGGCGAACGCTTTACTCTCGCTGTTGGTGGACACCCGCGACAGCAGGCCCCGACCGGACAGAGAGAAGGACAACGGAGCCAAGACAGGCCAGCGACAAGGGAGAGGGGAGGACGCACGGCAAGGAGAGAGGGAAGTTGTGATCAACCGTCTCGCCCGCAATTTGTGTGTTACGTACAAGTATTTACTGTACCACGACCGAAGAAAGCCTTCCAGGCTTCAATATTCTTTATGTTTCCTAATATTCTCACATTCTCACAGGCCCCCTTCACCCGAACCGACACCCTTCGCGCCGCCGGACAACGATCGCGTGTACACCTAATCTACTGCTGTACCACCGTAGGGGTGGAAGATCTCCGATGAACCAAACATGCGGAGTGATCCTTGGTCTACGTAACGAAAACGAACGTGGATCCTAACGGCCTGTTTTCGAGGCAGCCACATCAGCAGCAGCAGCAGCAGCAGCCAACAGCAGCCTTCTCTGAGCCCTTATCTGTAGACTAGGCAGACAGCGAAAAACACACAGCGAGCATGACGATCCTCGGCTACAAGCAGCAGCAGTTACGGCCTTCTGCACGAACCGTTCTGGTGCTACTGCTGCTGTTGAACGGACATGCAGCAGCACTCACGGGCAATTGCTCACGGGTTATTGTACCTGTACGTTGTACTTCATGTACCGTTGGGGGGCCAAATCGAGATTTTTTTTGTTGAGAAGAGATACAACCAGTTTTTCAAAAGGTAAGAAAATGGTGAGACCACGCCCGTGTGTCCGCACATACTCCGAAATGTATCCACACATTTACTACCCAAATACCCGGTACATACGCGTACCACATTGAAAATACGTTTGTAAACTGAGGGAGATTGCATGCCCTACGATTAAAAGGGTGTCACACACAAAACGCCCGACCAGTACCTAACACATATCATGTGCACCTTCCCAACGTAACATATATGAGACACACAAGACAGCTACCAAACTGTCTTGTTGAGCCTGTTACCGGCAGGGGAGATGTCCCTATATGCTGTCTGGGAAATCGTAGACATACAGGTACTTTCTGACGCTATGAATCCATTGCTAATCTGTCTCAAGACTCTTTTCTATGATAGAGATGGTTTCGTTGTGTCATATTAAGAAGAAAAAAAAAAAGAACCTGGACATCTTCTGTTCACTGTCAACTGACATGATCAGCCTTGCTTGACGAGGGCGTGGCGACTATAATATTCATATGAAAAAACTGAGGTCGAGTCCCAAAATTGAAAGACAATCGAATATGTGCTGCAGCCTCCGATTTGCTGTTGTAAAATGAAGACTGCTGTTGTAGCCGCCTATGTAGCAGAGGCAACGCATTAAAAAAAAAAAAAAAAACGAGAGGACGTCACCGCCTCACTGATAACAAGCGAGGGGGGAGGTAAAGGGACTGCAGCAGTCTTTAGTCTAGAGAGCATCGTTACATATAATCATTGGCAGTGTGGCGGGGCCCGCTGTCATCCATGTGTTGCAAAAATATGGTACTAAAGGACCACGGAATTCACAGGCGGAAAACCAACCGGAACGATGTCTGCAATTGCACGTCTCTTACGCGGGTTTCCGCTATATCCCGACATCCCGCCACCCCCCGCCGCTGCAAGAACAGCACACGCCTAAAACTACTCCGGGAGCGCGTGTAAGCTTGTCACTACAGCTGTAGCGCAGGACAGCATACAACATTTGTGCCGGAAACGCGGACACTGCTGTCTGTTCGAGAAACGAGAAAAAAGAGGGAAATTGAGATGTGGTGTGGGTGTGGCGGGAAAGAGAGTCAGCAGAGGAAGACGCACGGAAACGGCGTTGTACATACACAGGCCGCGTTGGGGCTAAGAAGGCAGAACACAACGCGGGCCCTTGCCAACAACAACACCACCGTAATAACACTTGGCTTCCAAGTAGGTCCCCTACAGATACGGCTGGATAAACAGCAGCAGCAGATCATGCACTGCTGTGTCGGAGGTCATGTTTTTCAAACCATCACCAACACCGGGATCGCTGCGTATTCTAAAAAAAAATTCTCGACCATATTTTCTCTTTCGGGGTGGGCAGATGTTGTTCGTGTGCTACAGACTTCGCCGTAGACAAAGGCGAACCCCACACAGATCGCGCTTGCGTGCGGGTAGCACTGGCGATAGTGCTGGCGGCTGCTGACGCCGAGAACCTAGAGGGTATCGCGATGCAGGACGTCTACAACCCCAAAGACACACGACACACACGACCACCAAAAAAAGGCGCACGCATGCCGTGATCTGGGCTTGTTGAAGCTCGGAGGCTAATCTTTGGAGCAGGGCCGAGACGAAAAGATGGATGTCCGAGGTATCACACGGCGGAGGCAGGAGATATACAAGCGAGAGTCACCAGCTTACCCCGCTATCTTGGAGCAGCAGCACAAGGGCACTTTGATCGATCCTTTGTTCCACCCTGCCGAAGGCTGTACATACGACATGCCATCGTCGTGTCTGGACCAAAAAAAATCAAAAATCAAATCGTGGAGGGACTTCCGAAAATAGCCGAAAGAGAGAACCTCACGCGGGAGAGTACGGGCGGGGTCTACAACACCCGTATCGAACATGTGCGGGTTTTGTCTCACCGTGTATCGGACAAGAGGCAAAACCAACGATCGCTCTCGGAGCTGGGCCGGAGACACGACGACACCAGACGACACGAGCAACTGAGAGCAGGCAAGCCAGGAGTAGACCCCCCCTCTTTATACCATCCACGTGCCCCCCACTCGCTCTCTCTCTCGTGCTGGACCACACACACACACACAACTCTCTCTCCCTCTCTCTCTCTGGACCTATCCCGAAGCATGTGAGTTTACGAGTTTACACGCTGCAGTGCATCCCCATTGCACAATGTTTTTGTTCGCGCGATCCGTTCAGAGTGATCTATATCGATTCAGATTCCAACCTAACAATACCCTCCCCTCCCCTTGCAGAACACAAGACTTGAATTGAATTCAAGCAGCAACAACTTCATTCATCATGTCGATCGTACTGCCGGAATTGCCGTGGGCGAAGGACGCCCTCGCTCCCCACATCAGCGCCGAGGTGAGCTAGCTTCACGGTGGTGGCACCGCCGCAGAGGTGGCGTTCTTCGCTATGGTTGTGCCGAAAGAACTTCCAAACCAGAAAATAGAGCCATCTGTCTTGATGTTCTCGGAGGGCGCGAAGCACCATAATAGGCAAAGAACCGCCTGGCCAATCTGAGTCTAGCATACATATACAAAGTGTTCCTGCCACATTTTCTTTTGAAGAGAAGAGAATCGACAATATGCACCCAATCATGCCACAAGTATATTCACCCACCGCCAACGGCGGTGCTTACCGCTCTCATCGGAACTGGGGTTAGGTATTCTTGCCCTCCGGTGTTGGAGCGCGATGCCGCGTTGCCCTGGTTTGTTCTGGAACACCCCGCAGACAGCAGCGGGAGGTTTCTTGGTAGTTTGTCCCGTTTTGTAGAAAATAAGCAGAATAAGCAGCATGCAGCAGTAGCTCACAGAAAGACTACCCGTTCGAGGTACAGTACAGCCACAACCGTGTTGACAGCAATCGAAAGGGACGTGTTGAAGTCTTTTCGGTGAGTGGAGGGAAAACTCTGCTTGACACCGGCCTTATTTTTGCTTTTTCCCTGCTGTGTGTTCGAGTTTGTGTGCCGTACGGCAGTCGTATGCATGTAGTCTAAATAGGTTTTGTATGTATACGACTGCCGTATGTAATGCCGCAGACCGATTCACCCGCCCTGCACAGGACCCGCCCTATTCAATGCACTACATACCAACCGTCTTAAATATTTTCCATGAATATTCCATCTGTGCCAGCCAATTTCACCCGCACTATAGTGGGTGCCCGCCTTAAAGAGGGCCTACGACTTTGGCGCAATTTGTCACAGCAAATAACGCGCCCCGCATCTTGTACAGCAGTAGGCCAAGCTCACGCTTGATATATACAGCAGTTGCCCAGTTGCCCCCAAATGTCGGATTTATGATTTGTTTACAAGTAGGGGGGGGCGTTTTGGTGTTAAATCCGGGAAATCGAATGCCCGACCTCACCGCAACCGGGTTGCATCTCCTGCGTTTGGCCTGGGTCATTCCGTCGATCCCGCCTCTCTACTTCTACAATTATTATTCCAACGGGTCCCACACCAATCAGGGTGGGATAACTGCCTCCGCCTGAGGTTTGCACCAGTTTTCGGCCACAACTTTTTCGCGGACAAACGGGTTTCTCTCTGCTGTAGGCTTGCGTGCATTTCGTGCGCTCTCGATCACGCCGCAATCCGTGTTACACTGACACGACGGAAGAAAGTCCAGCGACACGATAGGGGATGGTAAGGTATCGTCAATGACCCTTCCTTCTCGAGGTTGCAGACGCGTTTCTGAAAATAGAAACGAGTTGGCGTCTTTGAATGGTCAACTGCTGCTGCATGACCAGACCAAGGTCTCCACGACAGCAGCAGCAGTGAGAGGGAGAGTAAGAGCCGTGTGGGGATACGGCGAGAGGCGGCGTAACATCCCCCGTCCACAAAGTCGTTTCAATCCGAGGGGGAACGTAAATTGTCCCGGGCGTCCTACGCCGCTGCGTGTGATCACCGAGGCCTTCAACCGTGAAAAGTGGTTGGGGAGTCGTCCGTTTCTACCAGCTCTTACTAAACGTTTTTTCATGCACATCTGGGTGTCCGCAGTCCGTAGCTCCCCGAATCGGGGGGGGTCTGCGGCCGTTTCTTTTTTTCCCGCCCCGCACATGGAGCGTATCGCTCCACTCATATGCATACGACCGCGTCGAGTGTTGGATCAGTACGGCAGTACGGACATACGAAGGTACTGGGTAGAGAGAGATCGGAACGGTTTTTAATGTGAAGACAACAACAACAACAACAACAACAGTACGTATGCCGTCGACTCCCCGGACCCCTCTGACATATTTGCTGCTGCTGCTGCTGCTGCTGCTGCTGCTGCTGCTACCGTGGTCCGTGCTCTTACTCCTCACCCCCCCACCCACCCCACGCCGCCGGCCCTCATCTCTTGCCTCTCCTGCCCTCCGCAGACCATCGAGTACCACTACGGCAAGCACCACGCCGCCTGTGAGTCCTGCTGTACGCGGCCTTGCGTGTCGCTTGATCGAGCGTGTGTCCCGTCCTGTTGTGTCGTGTCGTGTCGTGTCGTGTCACCCTCGTTCTCTGCTGTGCTGTAGGGCGCATGGTCGCGTTGTCATTCGTCCTTCCATTTCCCTCTTCCCCCGTTGCCCGGCCCGGTGAGAACCCGGCGTGGTCCGTCCCGGCTTTGTAGGGATGCGAGGTCAGTGGTCTAACGACTACGGCATGCACGACTATGAGTACCCCCCCCCACCCCCCCCCCCACCCCGGGTTCCCGACTCTGATGTGATGGTAAGGCAACCGCTTCGCACTGATTTTGGTGTGTGCATGTGTATCTGAAAGTCAAACTCGTGAGCTCGAGGAATATTCTCCAGTTGGGCATGAAGCCACGCGAAGAAGCCTATCGTATCTGCCGCTACCACGCTCGCGGGCAGCCCTTGTTCTTCACCTTCACCTTTGTTGTATCCCTTTTTTGTCCTCAATCGTGACGTCACGAAGCCTGCCACGACCGTCCCAGATCTGTCACCGCGTCATTTCAACCCTGATTTTTTCTTTTTTCCTCTTTTTTTTTTTTTTGTCAGACGTGACGAAGCTCAACGCGGCCATCTCCACCAACTCCGAGCTGGAGGGTAAAAGCCTGGACGAGATCATGAAGACGGCCTCAGGCGGCGTCTTCAACAACGCCGCTCAGGTTAAGAAGTCGTAGCTGACAGACAGATAGTTCACGCGCGCGCAAACGAGGAGAGCAGGATATATCGAAGTTTCTCCTGGCAGGGGGAAGGGGTGGTACTATGTTATTTTGGTGGCATCTTGAACAACACCGCTCAGGTTGAGCAATTGACAGAGCGGACGCGGCTAACGAGAAAACCAACGGTCCTACCGGTTCTCGAAACATCTCGAGTAACGGTTACAATATTAGTCTCTTTTTTTGCACATGAAGTGATGCGGACGGACGGGTTCTGAAGGGTCCTGAATACGGTATCTATGGCTCCCGTGGATGGTACCCATTTGCCACCACGGCCCGCTGGGTCTCTCTCTATTTTCTCTGTTGGCTGTTTGCTGTGTTTGAAGGAAGAATGGTCGTTAACAAATAATGTGAAGAACTGGCTTGTAAAACACTGCTGTCCACACAATGTAGAAAGCTGTCGTTCAGTTACAGCCGGACAGGGTTTGTGACTTTTTGGCATAACCTCGCAGCGGTCTGGATGCGAGATCAATGTCGAATGGCACTAAATACGCAAGTATCACCTCGCGGTACCCCCCCCCCCCCCAAAAAAACGAGCGCCCGAATGTTGGCGGTGCCCCTACTTCCGTGCTCTCTCAAAAAGCAAAATACCTTGGTCATCAATGCTCGTCGAGCATTCGGATGGGGAGACGGCAAATACACACAAATACCGGGGAAGGACCTGAAACTTAAGCGTTGAACAGCTTTGGTGGTACGCAAAGATTACGAGGTGGCCCTCCGCTTCCGCTTAAGGCACCCCGATCCCCCAGTTCCCCTCTCTTTGAATTTTTCGGAAGGTGTGGAACCACAGCTTCCGCTGGACACTTGAAAATTCTACGAAAATAGTACGAGTTGTCCCTCCGCTTCAAGCACCCACCTCTCGTCTCCCTCTCTTTTGGCAAAACGGAAGGTGTGGAACCACACCTTTTACTGGAAGTCCCTCAGCCCCAGCGGGGGCGGCGAGCCCACGGGCGCCGTCAAGGAGGCCATCGAGGAGAAGTTCGGGTCGTTCGAGGCGTTCAAGAAGGCCTTCAGCGACACCGCCGCGGGGCACTTCGGCTCTGGGTGGGCCTGGCTCGTCAAGACGGAGTCGGGGGGAGTGGATGTACGTTTCTCTCGTGTGTTTTGTTAATTGGCATCGACCGCGCTTACCGGCTGACGAATGAAAGGACATCAGTCCCAGTGCGGTTGAAAACGCAAAATGCGCCTGATGGCCATGATGTGGCATGTGTGTGTGTGATGTTGATTGGCATCGGCGGCGCTAAACGGCTGACCAATGAAAAAGACCGGCAGGAAATGAAGGTCCCTGGATGGGGGGCCAAACGTCATGGATGGGTGCATATCGTGTTTTGCATGTGAATGTGTGTGGGCGCGCGCGAGTGGAGACCATGATGTGCGGATGGACACATACGTGTGGAGGCCGTCATCGCACAGGCGTGAAAAGTATGTTGATCTACGCGTCGTCGATCTGGAGGAGTATGGAGAGGAAGCGGCGGGACATGAAGGACGTTGTGGTGATACATGTTCTGCGTGTGGGTAATTTTGTGCTGCAGACGGCATGTTTTCCCGCCATTGAGTCAGTCTATCTCTGGCTTGTCTACGTGTAGCTATGCTGCTTGTTTACGATGCGTGTGTAAGCGTGTGTGTGTTTTTTTTTTTTTTTTTTTGCCAGGTGGTGGGAACCCACGACGCGTCCAACCCGGTGAAGGAGGGCAAGGGCACCCCCATCCTGACATGCGACGTAAGTAACGCATCGTGGTGCTGCTGCTGCTGTTGATCGGTGTTGGTGCTTGTCGATGGCGTTCGTTGTGGTTGTCGAGCTGCGGTTGTTGCTGTTGCGCTTTAGCTGACTAGAAAAGTCCGGGCTTCGATGCGGTTCCGGTGTTGTGGAGTTTGAATCTTACGGAATTAGTGGCTCTGTTTTGTAGTAATGGATGTCATAGCTTGTTGATGGAGTCTTGAAACCAACTGCGTTGTGGGGCCCACCACCTGGCGGTTGTGATGCGAAAAAAACGTTTACTTTTCTCTCCGTCCTCCCGCTATTTCTATGGGTGATAGGTGTGGGAGCACGCGTACTACATCGACTACCGGAACTCTAGGCCTGGGTACATCGGTGAGACAAAACAAAATATTGATGGTTGCCCCCCGCCCCGCCCCCCCCCCCCATGAAGGACGATATGGCTGACATACCCATAAACAGCATGATAGGGGAAAATGTACCCGAACATGGTTGGTTCAGCGCGCTACATGGGTGAGAGCGCAGATAAAGCGTGTGCGTGTGCATGCATGACTTCGTGTCGCGCCAAGCAGCGATATCACTCGGGTACTTTTGAGGCACGTGAGCTCCCGTAGACCTCGCTAGCGAAATTCGAGTCAATCATAAGTGCCCGATTGCGAGGACGCTGGGGTCTCTTGGAGAGACAGAGGGTTGCTCGTGGTGATTAACAAGAGTGTTGCCACCCTGCCAAACACAAAAGCAAATATTTGGAACAACTACCTCCTTCGCAAGACACGCACCCAAAGCCTCACCGCCCCCGCCCCCTATTCCCCCTCTCGACTTCCGACTGCCAGCTGCATGGTGGAACCTTGTCAACTGGGACTTCGCCAACGAGAACTTGGCCAAGTGCTGAGAGAAGAGGGCGAACAGAACGCGGAGGATCTCGATTTGTCATAAACACATTAATCACAACTACAGGCATCGAGGGACACATTTAATCACAACCACAGGCATCTCGAGAGAGAGGCGATTTGATTCGGTAGACGGATAGTTTTAAAAAAGGGGTGGGAAGAGTTGCGCATGGATCGAGCGGTTGAGGGACAAAGGCGATGGGAAGAGTGACGAAGCATGGTCTGTTGTCTCAAACTTTAGCGAAGCACGGTCGGGAGAAAAGGCCAGAGAACGCGGCAGGTCGAGCGGAAACCCAGGATTTGGAGGTGAACAGACACATATTTTGACGATTTGAACCGGAGAGCGTCCCCAACACCATCGTTGCCGATTCGGTGTTGTGGCCTGTCCAGGGGAATTCGGGGGTGGGGTGGGCGTAGTGGTGCGAGCTGTATGTGCTCATCGTGTTCACCCCACGCGACTGCCCAAACCTTTGATTGTCGGCTGCCGAGTTTTTCTCGGGTGTCCTTTTTGCGTGATCGTGATCGTGATCGTTCATCGAGCTCGTTTTCGACACCAGCTGCGGTGATTGCACGGGTAGATTTTCGGATGCTGTTCCCGTTTCGGCTGCGTGTGGCGAGCAATCGCGGTTGACCCGCGTCGTGCCCACTGGCTTCCAGGAAAGGTGGTGTGTTGTGGTTCGGAAGCGATATAATCTGCTGTCTCTTTTGGCGACGATCATCATGAGCGCAATGTGGATGTTGTGCTGCTGCTTGCCGGTTCTGCCGCCCTCGCCTTTTGAGGTTGGTGTGGAAGGCCGCTATTCACGACGAGGAAGATGGATGACATGAGAATGAGAGAAAGAGGGACAACTGTACCCCGTTTTTTTGTCATGTTCACCGGAAAGGTGCTTAGACTGACCCGGTTCGAAACACCCCCGTAAATTGCTGTACAGCACGTGATACCGGCAACTCTATTTCCTTGTTCCAGCCGAAAGGGAAAGGGGGCACACCTTCATGCATCACACATCCACTTCTCTTTCTCTCGAGGGGTGCAGGCCAATATTCCGACACTCTTCCCAACGGCATTGCCATCAGGAAGAAGAGGGGCGATCGAAGAGTGCGCAACGAGAGGAAGAGGAAGCGCATAAAAAAGAGTAAAAAAAATGAGACACGACATCTGTTCGTTGGTGGACACACGTATCAAGGAGAAGAGATGATTCCACACCTGCGTACATATCCTCGACCCACATCTACTGTGGTTGTTTCTCAACTGGGAACACAACAAACAGCCAAAAACACAACGCCGCAACACCGACACCGTAAAATCTCCGAATTCGGCACGCGCACGGATTCCAGACTCACGACACACCAAAAAATCATCCGTACCACCAGCCACCAACACGCTTGTTACGTTTGAGCCATGCACTACACGTGGCCACACGACAAAAAAAAAAATTATCGCCCACATCACGCCCAGGTCCCTTCCTCATCGTAAATTTTTCGGGAGCCCCTTGGGGGGTCCCCCCTCCCGCCCCCACGGAAGGGATTGATTCCCATGGCAGCAGCATGGAGGTCAGCCCCCCCCCCCTGTGCGCCCCCCCCTCCTCCTCCCCTAGAGACCTTGGCGAGAGCCTTTCTCAAGCGACCGCCTTTGCCTTTCTCGCGCTTGGATCGGGACGACGTTCGCGTTGGTGCCTGTTGGGTGTGCGGTTGTCAGAATTTGCAGCAGAAAGAAAACAAAGGAGCAGACGGGGGTTACGGTGGCGGCGGAGAGAAGAAGGGATATACAAGAGGGAGTGGGCGAAGAGAGACATTGAGGCGGACGAAACGGCGGGGAGAGACACACACAGCATAGTGACGAAAGAGGGAGTGTGTGACACAGAGAGAGAGAGAGATATGAGAGACAAGTTGAGTACAATGGAGCTTCGATTGCACGTGCCGCGGGTGTCCCACGGTCCTCGGGCGTGCGCGGTGATGTACCGACGAGCCTCCTGCGTGCCGCTGAAAAGAAATTCCGAAAGACTCGCTGCCGCGAGAGAACGTCGTGCCGAAGCGCGAAGAAACATCGAGATGATACATACACATAAGCATATGAGCGACAGCTAGAGGACAACCAAACTCTTCCTTGGCATCGTTGTTCCCACCGATTTGCGCTTATCCTATCTCCCATCTAACCCACACCGGCAAGCTTTGTACCTCCAGTTCGGATCATATTAAATGCAAGAGAGAGGGATAAAACACAGACGGAACAGCAACTAAAAGCAAATGCCCGGCAATCTGGGTGTCCGTGTCAAAAGCACCGCGATTGCCCCAAGACGATACAGCTCGTACCACCCACATCTTGCAACCCACGACGCGAAATGCACCACAAATAAGAGAGAAAGACGAGGGCACGACCTACGAGAGTCAACACGCCAGTCCCCACCCAACCGGGGTACTGTAGCAGGAAAAGAGTACTGCTGTAAATAGTCGGCGAGAGCTTGCATTGAAAGACATGAAAGAAAAACGACGCCAGGCATTTAGCTCTCATTTTCTCTCGAGAGCCAGCTCACCAGACCAAGGTCGACCTCCTCTTCGCTGTCCATCATCGCCGCGTGCGCACCACCGCCACCCCCCCCGTCCTCGTCCCATTCAGCGTCTCCCCCGTTCAATCTGGCGTACCCCCCTCCGGTGCTGGAACCACGTTTCCGCCTGCTGCTGCGAGACCCCCGTTTGCTACCCCCTACCCCGCCCCCTCCCCTGCCAACCATCTCGACTATCCCCGTGGGGGACTTGGTGCTGCTCGTGCCGGTCTTGACGGTCCCTCCGTTGACCAGGCCGACGTGCTGCTGCTGCTGGAGCTGCCGGCTGTAGGCGCTCCCGCCGAGCTCGGCCGACCGAGAGGTCGAGGACGAGTTGCTCTTCTGGTGCTGGATGTTCAGGTACAGGCTCGCCATGCCCAGAACCGCTGCCACCCAGAACGCGATCTTCAGCGGCAGCAGCAGCAGCAGCAGCGGCAGCGGAAGAAATGACACGGGCTTGTTTGTTTGTTCTTGGATACACGATTTCCCTTTTTATCCTACCACAGCTTAGACAGGTTGGCTCCTAAGTTGGGCACCCATCACTAGTACCTCATGCGGTGGTGGAACTATCACCACCAGCATCTCGCCATCTGTGGCGATCCCACGCTCTGCTTCGTCAGGTATTTCGTCACCCTGCACGCATGGGACAACGAGGAGATCACTATGCGTGCAGGTAGGCATGAGATGTCTGAAGAAGCAGAGGTTGAGATCGCCGTAGATGACGAGATGCTGGTGGTGTTACTTCCACTATTCGCTGGAGTATTGTACTCCACCTGCTTGTCCGCAATCAGGACGTGGATGCTAGTAGGCGCGCGGCGGATACACGATTTCCCTTTTCAGCGCTGCGACTGCAAGAACCTCGCTTGTGTGCATTCTTAACACTCTACATCGGTATCGGTGCTCCAGCCCGCCCGGTCCGCGATAAGGTATACCGCAGGTAGCATAGGATACCACGCACCCCTTGCACCGATTTCAAAACCTCGAAAAAAGTCAACGGTGGTGCCAAGGATGGCGACACTGGACATTCCCCGTCGAGACCTTTTCGTTAAAAAAAAACAGCATTTGATAGTTGGCATCCTCTTCGGCGTCGAGTAGCCGAACTTGGGGTCAAACCGGGTCCAGGGGGTGCGGTGCTACAGCACACGGGTCCGCAGATAAAGAAAAAGTCAAAATCGGGTCCGAGGCTCCGTTTCATGTTTCATCGCCACTGCTGTCGAGCACAGGTTGCTATATGCTTCTACTCGATCTTAACGTAGGGTCCACCGCTGAGCTATGGTTCTCACACTATACGTTCTTATTCTCCCTTGAAAATATGAGCCTCTGTTTCCTAATGAAATATTAATTCTGAACCGCGGCCCCGTGCTGATTCTTACACAGCCAACGGTCTGTCTGTCTCACCTTGTACCTCAGCACCGACTCCTCGACATTGTCCAGGTGCTCCCACAGGCTCGTCGCGTTGCCCGTGCCGTTGCCCCCACACAGCTCCCGCGTCCACCGCAGCCGCGCCTCCTCCGTGTTGTCGCCGCTGCTCTCGCCGCCACCACTGCTGCTGTCCCACCCACCGCCACCCCAGTCATCTCCGGCCGGCACAGCGGCAGCCGAAGAAGAGGAGGTGGGCTGTAGGCTCGGCGAGGGAGTGCCATCGATACCTTCGGCACCTTCGATCAGCGGCGGAGGGTCCAGGTGGACGCAAACGATGCTCGATACCGGGATTTCGCACCGTGGCAGGGCGGAGCCGTCCCTAAACCCGCCGTAGCTGTCGCTATCTGCGGAACCATGGGAACGGACAAACCAGAGGGGGCATGTCAGTCAATAGGTGTAGTACAGTTTTTTCGCTTTGCTGGTCCGTTAGCGGAGGCGGCATCCGATTCAGGTCGCGATGTCGTGCGCCCGCTGACGAAACCCACCCTTTCTTTCGGCGTAGGCCCTCACCCGCCTTGAGCGATAGTAGTGTCATTGATGCTGATTCATATACCACTGCCACTGTTCCGCATGGTCAACCCCCCCCCCACCTCAACTTGGGAATTTTGGGAACCTACTACAAGACGAAGAAGTAAATGACTACGACCCCCCCGGGCGTCGACGATGTCTCTAGACACACTAGCTAGACACAAAGCAGCGGGGAGAAACGGTTTTCCGTCTCGAAATGGAAATGTAGTGCGTGGTAAACGGCCAGATAGATGCCCAAGGCAAGCATCAAATGACGACACCCCGCGCCCTAGAATAGCAACACATGGCAAAGGTATTCCACCTTTCGTAAAACGATAACTGGCCAAAGGTCAAAATACCGCCAGACACAAAGCAGCAGGAATAAACGCTTGTCCGTCTCGAAATGGAAATGAAGTGCGTGATACAACGCGGTCTGATAGACGCCCAAGGCAAGAATCAAACGACGACACTCCGCACCCTCGAAGAGCAACACAGAGAACAAGTTTCTACTCTGATAAAACGATAACGGGTAAATGGTCAAAATACCAAGGTACCGAACGCCATACATACCCCATTCCTCCTCTTGGAGCAAAATACAACGGCCCTAACGACGACCACAGCACGTGATATTACCACATATACGGTTGGCAGAACAAAGGGCAGGCACAGAGAAAATGACCTTACAGTAGCAGCACATTCGTGGATCAAGATAAGGTAGGTTGTCATAAGCCCACATATCTCTCCCACCGTGAATATTGTAGAGAACTTCAATGATTTTCTTGCGCGTGACGTGAGAGCCTGGTCCGGTGAGAACCCGGCGTGCTCCGCCCTGGCTTTTCAGAGATGCATGCGAGGTCGATGGCCCCAACAGCTACGGCACGCAGGGCAATGAGTACGCCTGCTTCCTATCTCTTGCCTTCCGCCGACGTTGAGCACGGCCCTGCCGGGTCCACGATCGCGCTGCCGTTCACCATCATCGCGGACGGCGCGCCTCCGACCAGGTTGATGGCGTTTACAGCCCCGGCCTCCACGAGCACGTCCGCCAGCTCAGACAGGTCGAGACCGTCCGGGATGGCTGTGTCCTGGTCGGACCCCGCGGCTGCGCCGGAGGTCTGGAGAGGCGTTTTTTGCGAGCGGGGGGGGGGGAGACACGTCCGCCGGGACAAACAAAACGACGAACAGAAGGCACTGAGAAGACTTTGTTCAGGCGGAGCCAAAGGGGTATGCATCGTGGTCTACAAAAAAAAAACTCTTGTTGTAGAAAAAGGACAGCTCGTTACAAACGGGGGCGGCATGGTGGTATTATGGCTGAATACCAAGATGCGCCGTGTGATAGTACTCTCGCATGCAAACAAGGAAAAATAAACGGAGAAAAATTCAAAATTTCCTCCAAAAGGACGCAAATGGAACGCACACACGGAACGGGCTTCTGCATCACGAGTCGCCTAGGTCAACCGCCCAAACACGATTGAGACTACGCCATAAAGAGCAAGCGAGGGGATCCCGTGTACCCTTCCCCCGCTAGACCCCTCCCCCGTGCGGAACAAGTGAGGGACCCCGTGTGCCCTTCCCCTGCCAGACACCCCTCATAAGGAACACATGAGGGGACCCCGTGTGCCCATCCCCCGCTAGACCTCCCCTCCCACAAGAAACACATGAGGGCGCCCCGTGTACCCTTCCCCTGCCAGACCCCCCCCATGAGCACAAACGAAGGGGCCCCGTGTGCCCTGCCCCCGCTAGATCCCCCCGTCTCCCCGTCCCCCCGCCCACGCACCTGCAGCAAGATCAAGCGACCCTCAGAGTCGTGGCCGATCGCGGTACGTGCCAGCTTCGCCACGAGGAGGTCGTCCAGCGCCCCTCCCTCGCCAACCCCCACGCTGCTGCTGCCGCTGCCGCTGCCGCTACTACCGCCGCCCTCCTCTCCTTCGCCATCTTCGTCATCGTCGAGCAAGATGTCCAGGTGCCCGTCTCTCGCCGAGGCCTCGACGTGGTTGACTCCCGCGCGCACCAACCACCCGGCTCCGGAGATGAGGTTTTGGAAAGGGTTCTGTTCGTCTAGTACCTCCTCGGCGGTGATTGTTCCCACCACGAAGCTGTCTCCCCGGACTCCGAAGCTCACCATCGCTAGAAGATGAGCGGAAGCAGACACGCACAGCCGCGCAAGCGGGGCAGAGAAAGGAGAAGAGGGACGATGAGAAAACGCAACACGTTTGACAAGGCGTTGGATGATGAGCAGAAGCAGACGCACAAACCTACAGGGCGCGATAGACAACCTGCCCGGCGGAAAGGGACAAAAAACAAAACGAAAACGAAGGTGGGAGGTGAGGGGCGCCGCGCGATTCTTACCAAGCGGAACGTTACTGCAGAATCAAACCATGAAAAAGTCAAAGGACCACTACTTTACACTTGTATCACACACCGAGGGGTCGAGAATTCACGTCTCGCTTTCTCTCTCTCGGGAGGGGCTACACGAGGGGCTTCCCCGCCTATCCGTGCGGGGGATGTTCCACGAGCCCTTCGGCCGTACGAAAACCTTCGAAACAGAAAACATGCACGATTCATTTAACACCCGACCAAACTCACCTATCGGACCAAGCAACACCGCCCGACGAAGGCATGCACTCCATGTCCAACACCCCATCGACGTCTCAATACCCTGCCCCCCAACACGAAACAACACGAAAAATTCCCCTGCCCGCGGTGTGGCGCTCGCCCTGTCTCTTCTCTCACCCGTCCCTTCTTCCGCCTGGAAGACTTGACCGGCGCCGACAAGATGGCCAACCGCACAACTCCCGCCGTCGCCGCTCAGCGGCGGAAGCATGCCTCCCGCGGCCGCCGCCTGGCATCCGTTACCTCCGCCGGCCGCGCGCCAGGCCGCTTCTCGGGAGTCGAGGTCGAGGCGAACCCTGGCGTCCTCCGGGGACTCGCCGTCCAGGAGCGGGGCGGTTCGGCGGACCGCCTCGAAGCCTCGGCTTGTCTGGGACGCCGGAGAGAGGGCTGGTGTTGAGGGGGGGGGGGGGAGGGGGGGAGGGGGGGAGGGGTGAACAGTGCGGCGTGTTTTCAGAGGATTGCTGGTTGAAGGTGACGGAGGAGGAGGAGGAGGGGACTAGTTGGTTAAGCTAGCACCAAGGAGCAGGGTCGACAGACCCGCTTAGAGTCACGACAGGCTAAACGAAATGTTACAAGCGATAGACTACGCTGGGATCTAAGCTCGACCTTTGATTTGCACAATGTTACAAAACAAAGGCAACACGTCTCTCTCTCCCTCTCTCTCTTTCGCCCCTCTCTCTCTCCTTCCCTCCCTCCCTTTCCTTCATCCTGACACTCACCGTGCTCCTCGCCATCGCCGCCGCAAGCACCCGGCGGCGGCGCGAACGAAAAGTGGCCGCTCGGGTTAAACACCCGGAGAAGCTTCCCCCTAACGACGCGCGCGCCGCCTTCGCACTGGTCGCCGTAGCCGGGACCCAGCACCTCCTGCTGCTCCAGCTCCGCCGCAGGGGCAGCGTAGACGGCTTCGAATGCTGTTACGTCTACGCTCGCCAGCATGTCGCTAGCGCTACTGCTGCTGCTGCTGCTATCGCTAGCGCTGCTATCACTGGTCGAACCTAGGTGTGGGAGAGGGGAAGCGAAGAGTGCAAGGAGAACGAAGGGCTCAATGGCGTGCGCTCGCGGGGGATGGAGGGAGGCCGAACGATTCGAGCTCACGACTTTGCCACTTGCGGTTTCGAGGTTACCACTAGACCACCGGGGCGACCGAATATGCGAAGGATAAGTATAAGCTGAACAACAATTAACCGTAAGATCCACTGAAGCTTTCCTCGCCGAAACGCTCCTTGATTGTTTCCGTCGTCTCTTAACTCTGTAAGGAATCATGCACCCACCTCGAGCGGTGCGTGGAACCGCGGCAAGAGGGTGTTGCAAGGCCAGCTACTGCCTGCATGGTGATGCGGATCGATCAACTCCATGTGGAGTCATTCCGACCAACGGGTATCTAAGCCATCTTCGTGCGAAAACGTATCGCGTCGACAAGCGTAACTAGGTGACACACCCACTACTTACGTCAGTGTAGCCAGTGACAGAGGAAGAGGAGGAGCAGCAGCAGCAGCAGCAGCAGCAGCAGCAACCCAACGTCATGCGCCTTAATCAAAACCTACTTCATCTCACCTCCCGACGACCCCGCGACGGGGTACTCGTCGGTCCTGGGCGCAACGATCGTCACCGGCCACATGGTGAGCTCGCTCTGGTACAGGCCGTCCGCCACCGCCACCACCCTGAACTCCCACGTGCCCTCCTCCGACCACTGCACCACGGTCCCGGGCTCTACCGACGGGGACGTGTCCCCCGGGACGGAAACGCCATCCGTAGTGTACCGCACGGTGGTGTTGGGTGTGGAGCAGTTCATGGTGATGGCGACGGTCCGCAGGAAGGCGTTTTCTTCGTCGGTTACGTCGGCAGTCGCGCTCTCGCCCGCGAAAAACAGGGCAGGATCTTCGACTTGTTCCTGTATTTTTGTTTTGTGTGGCGCGCAGGCGGGGGGGGGGGGGGGGGGGCGGTTCCGGGGGGTTCCTTTCTTTCCCTTTTTTAAGCCCCCTTCCAACGAATTTTTTTTCCAATGGCTGCCCCACAAAACAACAAACAAACCCCACCAACAACAACACTTCTAACAGGAAAAAAAAACCCACCACCCGAAAACGGGAAAACCCTTACAATCAAGATGGAAGGGTCCCGTACCCACCAACAAGAACACATAAAGTAAACACCCCCCTTCCCTCCGAACCCCCAAAAACCAAAGACAACAAAAAGGAAACCCCCCCAATGGCCTCCAAACCCAAAAAAACCAAAACCCTTTAAAAACCCCCCACCACCAAACCCTAAATATGATCTTTTTCTTCCCCCCCACCCCAAATTTTCAATCCCCTCCTCCTTTCCACCCCCCCGAT